CAGATCTTTGTGCCACCTCGCGCCTCTTGTTCTTTAATTCATTTTCAACGCTTTCTTGGTACTTATAGCCAACCTTAATGCCGAAATATTATAACGCCCACCCCACCCCACAATCACTCCTCTCTTGTCAATTTTGTTTAGGCAGCGTCAGCACTGCAAACAGGTTATGTCACCTTGGTAAGTTGGTCATCAGCATGGATAATGCGCTGCCCAGCCGAGTCATTAACGTAAGTAATATCCTTATTCTCGAACTGGGCGCGTTTCCAAATCTCAACCTCACCTCCACCACGGAGAACGCCATAGCGTATTGTGGACAGAAGGTTGTGAGCTGCGTTGGAGTGGTAGTAGACACCACCGTTGAAGATTGCAGTGGCATCCTTGCCAATAGCGGAGTTGATCAGAGCCTTGCCACCGGGGTGATCCTTGATGAAATAGGTCACATCGTGGATTACACCAGCGATAGCCACTAGAGCCTTGCCGTTCTTGGCCTCCTCAACGAAGTCGTCCCAGCCAATGACGGGAAGGTGCTCGAGCGGCGTACCCCAGTTGAGGGTAGCTCGCCTCTGGTCGAGCTTCTTCTGGAGCTGCTGGACACGACCCTTCTCAATCTCGTTGGCACGGAACTGCTTGAGATCGTAGGCGAGACCAAGCCACTTCCAGACGGTGATAGACCACTTGGTAGGATCCCACTGCCACCACTCAATGGCATTGCGGTAATCTGAGGGGAACTCGTGATGGAAATTGTGGTATCCCTCACCGAGTGTGACGAGTGCGGTGATGACGTGATCGCGGGGTGAGTTTCGGTCATCAAAAGGCTGGTCGCCGAGCCAATGGGCGAGGGAGTTGACGCAAAAGGTGGCCTGCTGAACAAAGCAAACGCGGAGAATAGCGGCGTAGACGAATCCACCGAGCCAATCATTCCAGAAGATACCGCAGACGGCGGTAGGGAAGATCAGAGCCATGAACAGAACGCACTTGATGAAGTTGCGGTGCTGCCAGACAACAATGGGGTCTTCGTTGAGGTCGGTGATATCGGTTCGGCCGGTGTTCTTGGGGTTCTGCTTGAAAACCATCCAGCCGAGATGGGAGTAGAGAAGACCCTTGCGGACGGAGTAGGGGTCCTTGACGGTGTCGGTATATCTGTGGTGAGCACGGTGATCCCTGGACCACCACCGGATCGAGCCCTCCATGGCGCCAGCGCCAACGGCCGCAAGGTAGATCTTGAGGGGAGTGGTGGCCTTGTACGAGCTGTGTGCCCAAAGACGGTGGTAACCTGACGTGAAGATGTTAGTATCTGAGAAACTGACAGACCAGCAATGGTTCAGATATGGATCAGATATTTACCTGCTGTGATACCGAGGCCGGTGTTGAAGTAGTAGACAACAGATAAGATGGCGGTGTTAAGCTTAAGAGGAATCCAGAAGGCTGAGATGAAGCCTAGAATGGGGATAAAAATGATGAATGTGGCATTAAGCCAATTGACGTGTTGATGCCAGTTTGACCAGATTATAGGAATGTCGGAAATGTGAACTTTGTTAGGATCGTACTTGGACGAAGAGGCACGCAGAGGCTTGTAGTCTGTCGTGCCATCTGGAAAGGCCTTGGCCTGGGCGGCCACTGGCACCGAGGTGGACATCTCGACGATGCAGGGTCTTCGGTTCTGATCAATTTCCCTGTGGACTCGTCCGTCGTGTTATTGGATATGATTGAATGTATCAATCACTCAGGCCTGCACCGTATGTACGTACTGTATCAGGAGCGTCCTATTATTAGTGGTAATGGAAGGGGCTAGCCAAGGGATTGGCAACTGAATGCTGGGGATTCGCCTTTTTGGAGTTGAATTCTTTGCAAGCGATTCGAGATCGGGTGAGAAGTCGTTTATCTGTATTTGCCAGGGACCCGAGGGACGGGATGCGAAGGGCGGTTGGTGGCCGGGTCTTTCTATTTGAGGGTAATATTCAACAATTCCCATGTATATGTTCGGGAAACCTATCTAATCACCAACAATAAAACAAAAACTTCACAGCCAACAAACTCTTTGCACTAGCTGCTCTCTCGGGTAGGCAGTTTAATAACGACAAGTGCCTTATTATTTCTTCTAAGCTCTCCAGACCTTCATACCTACCTACTTGTCACCTTCCGCCTTCCACCTTCCACGGTGTGATTATCTGGCACAGTTGCCCTTACGCCATTCCTGCCGCCTGCCATATCTCAACATTTATTATCCCAACAACTTTTCTTGGGCGATCCGTGATTGGTTGCCCATAGCCCCTGTATCACTAAGAAACTACCCGGACCGCAGATCTCTGGCTGCCCGAAAGGCGCTTATGCAACTGAGCGAGAACGTTTGTTGTCCCAAAAGCGGAATAAAGATATGACTGCATGATGATGCAAATGTCACTGCATGCTGAGGGGGATGGGCGGACAGCGCGACCAGTTTGTATTAAGGGCTGGCAAAGTTGGGGCTAGGATGCTCAGGATTCACCAGAGTCCCTAAACTCAACAATATCCGCTGCCGATTACTACTCTAATCTACCATTGTTCCAAATCTCCGTTGAACGGACAATATAGGGCCTGACTTACTACAAATCACGAGATCAAAATTGGTCGAGTACTTGAAGAATTGATCTGGGACTACTCTCTAGCGACGGGGTGGAGCTTGTGTACATAGAAGTGGTCTGAGACTTGTGACATGCGATGCGGATCAACCACGATCCGGGGGTAGCTTGCCCTAGACTAGGCCAGTCAAATGTGGCCTGCACCATTCCTTAGAAGGTTGAAAATCACCTAATAGGGGTCTAGGCTTAATTAGCCTAGACCCTAGACCCCTCTAGGATTGATAGTAAGGTATCTATACGGAGGAAACTTATAGCTAAGACCTCCACTGCCAAATGTCAATTTGCCATTTCAAGCGGGAAGTCTCTTCACCATACTACCTAACCGTACGGCCATGCTACCTGCCCTAGGATTTTATGCCCAAATATGAGCGAGAGCGAAAGTTAGTCCAGAGAAACCAAACCAACGGGTACATACTTTAGCTTCCCAAGGAACAATTACCTTACTTCCATCTTAAAAGAAAGCTCATATCAAACAACCAAGTAACCACACAATAGCAAGTGACGGGTGGTACAAGTCTGACAAAGACGAAAACACAATACCGGGGCTGCCTATAACCTCCGGCTCATTCAATGCCCCTTTCACGCCAGGAACCTCAACAGTACTTTCTACGAAGCTCCAGAGTAGGGCCTAGCCTTCTCTGGGTAACTGAACGTTGGGTCAGAGTAAGTCCCGTCACTGTTGTGGGTAACAGTCGCGATGACCTGGCCTGGCTTGGCCTTGGTGAAGTCAATTTCCGAGACCGCGCCGAGGGTAGTAATATCGACAGTAGTACCGGGTTTGTAGTTTCCAGTACTAACATAGTATTTGATGACGGGAGTGAGGTCGTACTTCTGGAAAGGCTTAGCTCGCCAAACAGCGACTGGAACAACTTGATTCTTGTCGTTGTACTTTCCGTATCCACAGTAGACCGTCTCTGTATAGGGGGTTAGTTTGGCACTGCCGTTCCCATAGGAGCACGGTAGGACTCACTGTACTGGTCTGGGTTGAATGGGTTGGTTTGGATACCGAAGGAATTATCCTTGTTAGTTGTGCCATATGGCTCAACGAATTGAGGGCCATCGTCGACAATGTCCATAAGTGGAGATGTGCCCGGCTTGTTTCTGGTTGTCAGCTCGACTGCGGCATAGTCGCTAGTAGAGACAACAACGCCGTAGTCAACTGGCTCTGGCGTTGTTCCACAAATGGCAAAATTAGCAACCTTGACATCGAACTCTGCTTTGCCCCTAGGAGATGGAACGCCAGGAGATCTGATCCAAACATTGGTATATATCTTCCCAACGGAAGACGACTCGTCAGGCTTTTGGTTGAAGAAGAGGTAGTTTTGTGTCTCCTCAGACTTGTTGAGGACATTAACGAAGTACTCGGCGGTGGACATTTTGAACTAAGGCTGCTGTCCCTCGGGATTTGTTCAATAATATGTGGCGAGAGAAGGTCTGGCTGGTCTGTGAAGAGGGAAGATGTCTGTGAAGCCCTTTTTTGGGTCGGGATGTTGGGATCTTAGTTATGCAGTTTGGTAGGAGCTGGGGAGAGATTCTTCCTCCATATACATAACCGCATGTGGTGCAGTGAGTGTGGCTGGCTCCACTCTTCCCTTCAATTCGCCCTAAATGTGGGCTGTCTGATGCATTCGTCCCCGGATGTCTAAGCCTATGTGCGCCATTGAAACATTATACTCCCGAACTTCATACCAGTACTAACAGGTGGCCTGATTTTACATCATAACAGCTCATTATTCTCGCAAACATATTGGTCGGGATCTAATATTCACGTCGATACAGACTAATTATCCACTGATAAGTACTAGATACTCCTGGGTTCCATGTTACTTTATCCCCTAGGAATCATTTTTAGACGGCTTTAGGTTTGGTGCGCACAGTTGACCAACTGTATTGTTGAGAATGATTGGGCAGGGTTTCTCAGCCGCACGATAAGGATGGCTGACGTATGCAGAGTAGAATGTAATACTGACGACAGCTACGGTTTGTAATAAAACATAGTGTACGGAGTAGGAAGTACATCGATGGGTAATAAACTATCAGAGCATTAGATGTTTAGTTCAAACAGCAACATTCTTTGCCTTAACCAGCATTTATACCCAAAAGTTACTTTTCGTTTTGAATCAGCAGGAATGCATTTTGTACATTTTCCGGCACTATCAAATGCATAGAGAATCTAGAGATAGATAGAAATACCTAGAGGTGTGGCCCTCGAAGATGGTGACCCTTGAGCGCAATAAACGTCTTTTGGTGCCACCCCTATGTGCCGCAATAGTAACTTTCCATGTGATGCTTTTCAGTATGCCCGACACTTTGTGAATCATTTGCTTCTCTTCTCCGCCTCTCGGAACATTCCCGTAGGTCTGGTTCACACTGCAATGGAATGCAGCGGCATTTTCTAACCTTCGGTCGGACCGCTTCCTGAGACTTATGTAGGTCGCAGCTACTTCTAACTGCACCTGTTTCGGCGAATTCCACACAGTCTCTATAGTAGATAGAATGAAAATCATATCTCTGCTCTCCCCTGCTCGCTACTTGGTGAACCCGTTAATACTTTGACTGTATATATAATTCTTCTATTACTTCTGCTGTAAAGTACCCCTTGCTCCACCCCAACTACTGTTCCATCGTCATCTGAGACAACCGGCACTCATGCCACTATTTGGGCATTCATTCAGCCTTTTTCTTCCCTCCCTTGTACTATGGCTTGTAAACTCCGTTGTTTTATATTTCGCTTCTTGGATATGTAGTGACTTATCATACCAACACGGGGATAATCCGACAGGCTGCTGTACATTACGCCATCCTGGCAACCCGCTTTCACGAAGGTTCTGCGCCTTCGAGCTCATGAGCCACATATTTTCTTTTCAGCGAATCATATAGCGTGCGAGTATGCTTTCCCTGTGGGGCAGTGTCTGTTAGTGGCTAGGAGAAAGCTTGATACGAGCCATATACTGAAATAACTGCGCCAAGGTGTAGGCTTACGCCTTTACATTTTGGCATAGCTGTTAACAGCGTCTATCTGCCTTGAGTATTTCTTGACTCTTTCTAGGGGCGTCCTCGTTTGCCACTACTTAACTGTCGCTAGTCTTTCTTATCTTCGTAGATCAGGCTTGATATAGTGGCGCATCTGGTTTGCATTCTACTTCAGTCGCCTTCCGGGCTGCAGCTTTGGCGTTCGGTCCTACACAAAAGTTCTCTTCTTCAGCTAGAACCTACATCACCTAGATAGAGTTGCCCTTGTCGTCAAGACGCTTGATATAGTCTTAGCTTTGCTGGAATGGTGTGTTGGCCGGATTGTTGTTGTGGCCGCTGTATTGCTATATCTTGCTGACATAGTACAGACGGTATATATCTCAGCGCCATCGCTATAGTTCCCAGCTCAGCTATGTATGGAGTTAGCCCCGCCCTCCACTCGAGAGTGACGAGTAGCTGGCCACAATCTCATCGGAATTATTAAGGGCTGTAGTTTGTATGGCAACCCACATGCCCACCCTACCACCTCTCTACAAGGGGAGCAGGTAGCAATCAGCATCTGTTCTGTCCTCCGCTTAATTGCACTGCTCCCGCACAAAGCACGCCCGCTCACATCGCCGTACTGTATCGATCAACATTGCGAGGCGTACATTTGGCCGAATGCCAAGATATTATGGTTATGTGTCACTGCCACTTGGACTGCTCCTGCCCAGCTACCAGAACCCACCGAGCAGAATTCTCATTCAATAATGCCAGGCTGGGCTATCATCTCAAAGTAGCATACTTTGCGATAAGCATAATACTACTATTAAAAATAACCATGCATTTTGCTGGAATAAGATGAGATAGGAAGAACAGAGTATCCGAG